AGGTAAGTAGAAAAGGGAAATCAAAAGGGACTTAATAAAGTTAAACTGTTTACATTCCTACATAGGAAGATGATTTTATAACTCATAAGACCTTTTTCATTATTAGGGTAGTTAGAAGGAGTATATATAGATAGAGAGCACAGGTGTGAGTTGAATATGAAGGGATGATATCTAAAAATAAAATTAAGGAGTAAGAGAGAAATGTACTGAGAGAAAGAGAAAGGAAGGGGCAGAATGAGGTAAATTATCTCACATAAAACAGGCAAGAAAAAGCTTTTACAATGGAGGGGAAGAGGAGGGAGTTGAGAGGGAGTGAGTGAACCTTATCTCATCAGAATTGGCTCAAAGAGGCAAAAACATACACATTCAATTGCATATAGAAATCTATCTTACCCTATAGGAAATTAGGAGGGCAAGGGGATAAGAGAAGGGGGGTGTGATAGAAGGGACAGAAGATTGGGGGAGGGGGTAGTCAGAAACAAAACCCTTTTGAGGAGGTATAGGGTGAAAGGAGAGAGAGAATAAAATAAATTGGGGGGAATAGAGGGAAGGAAATATAGTTAGCAATAGTAGCTGTGAAAAAATTTTTAAGCAGGTTTCTCTGACGAAGTCCTTATTTCTCAAATATAGAGAGAACTGAGTCAAATTTATGAAAGTGAGAGTCATATACCAATTGATAAATGTTCAAAAGATATTATCAGTTTTCAGATGAAGTAATCAAAGCTATCTATAGCCATATGAAAAATAATTTCACTATTGATTAGAGAAATGCAAATTAAAACAATTCTGAGGTACTACCTCATACCTACTAGATTGGTTAATAGAAAAGCTAAATCACAAATGTTGGAAGGGATGTGGAGAAAATGAGACATTAATGCACTCTTGGTGGAGTTGTGAATTGATTCAACCATTCTATAGAGCAATTTGGAACTATGCCCAAAGGGCTATAAAACCATGCATACCCTTTGACCTAGCAGTACCACTACGAGGTCTATATCCCAAATGTACAAAAATATTTATACTAGCTCTTTTCTGGGGGCAAAGAATTAGAAATTGAAGGGATGCCCATCAATTGGGGAATGGCTGAACAGGTTGTGATATATTATTATGATGGAATACCATTGTAGTGTAAGAAATGAAGAGCAGGATGCCCTGAGAAAAACTCGGAAAGACTTGCATGGGTTGATGCAAAGTGAAAGGTACTATGTACAAAGTTTGCAAAGCAATACTGTAAGATGATCAGCTGTGAATAACTTAGCTATTCTCAGCAATACAACAATCCAAGACATCTCTGAAGGACTTATGATGAAAAATGCCATGCATTCCCAAAGAAAGAACTGATCGTGTCTAAATACAGATTGAAACCTGTTTTTTTAACTTTCTTTGTTTTTCTCGAGTTTTTTTGTCTTTTTTTTTTTTACAACATGACTACTATGGATATGCTTTGCATGACTACACACGTATAACCTGTGTCTAATTACTTGCCTTCTCAATAAGGAGGGGTGATGAAGGAGGAAGGGAGAGAATTTCAAACTCAGAAGTTTTAAAAATGAATGTTAAAAATTGTTTTTACATTTAACTGGGAAAAAAACAAAATACTAAATAAAAAAGTGAAAAAAGAAGCAGGCTTCCAGAACTTCTAGATGGGGACCTCTAGGGAAGAAGTACAGAAATATGTGAACAAGAATTACCCAAGACAAGAAGGTCTGAAGAAGGTTGCCACCTGTACCAGCAGAATTAACCACTGCTAGAATAACATATATTCAAATGTGAAATATAAATAATTCTGAATTGTACAAATAATTATATGGAAATGGACATGGAAATATTTATTAATTATTCTTTATTCTATTTGTATTTATTGAAATTGATATTTTTGCTGTTAGAATTATTTTTAAAAAACTTAACGTATTATTAAACTTCACCTTTCTTATGATGCCCAGCAGAGGGTCTGCCACAAAATAGGTACTCAATAGGTGGTTTTCACCTTAGACTATAAATCATTCAACCAGAAAATCCTGAAAAAATGTCCCTAGGGAGTAGAGGATTGACTCACAGGCAACTTTTTTGGCAGTTATTTAACTATTGAGAGTTGGTGTGACATAGTGGCTAAGGTGTTGAATTTAGTGTCAGGAGACCTCTATTTGAATGATGGAAAAATTATTTAAATTCTCAGAGCCTCCATTTTCTGATCTGTAAAATGGTAATAATGCTTGTGTAAGTTATTGCTGTGGTCCCCACTGCCTGAAGGTCAAGTGTGTTACATTTCACCCTTTCCCCAGAGTTCTCTAATACTCTTAAAGTGTTGACAAATGGGTCTGTCATCTTCACTATTGCTTCAAGCCCCCACTGATTATGTTCCCTTAATTTTAGGAGGTCTCTAGCACCCCAGTTCTATTTTAGCACTTAAAAGTCAGGTTAGCATTAATATTTACTTCGAAGGCATAGCAAAAGCAAACATACAAACATTCCTCCCCATACTAGAAGAGGCATAATCCCCCCTACACAACCTCAGTCTGCAGAGGGTAAGGGGATTAGGTTCACAGCTTAACTCTGTTCTTATCATTCCCTGCCTTCAAGGAGTTTACATTCTAAAGAAGACCACACACATGAAATGCCTATTCAAATGTATTCTGTCACCTCAAAATTAACCCTTTAGAAAAGCAGAAGCTGCCTTTCTTAAAACAATCTAGCACAGTTTTCCAAAATTATCAGGTTTATAAAAGTTATGCTTGTGCCTCCCAAAGTAGATTGGCCTAGATTGTATTTATTGATATTGCTTTCTGCCTCCATCTCTTTCCATGGTTCCATATTGACCAAGAAAACACAATCAATACCTACAGTCAATATATTCAAATTTGCCCATAGAAACAGAATTCTATGAAACTAAATGCAAAAGGAAAAGAAATAAGATGTGTAGCATGTTGGATTATTTGACTGACTGTCTGATTCACATTATTCCCTAATAGCCTTAATCCTCTTCAGCCCTGAGAACATGAGCCAGATCTTAACCTCAAGGAAGATGCCCCACAAATATCAGGTTGTTGTGCTACTAATTTTCTGAATCCTAGCCATTGCCTCCTATAGTCACAAACCATATTATCATCAGGAAAGATAAAACCACAGAATAAACATTCAAGAACAGTTAGTTGCTCAATAAAAATTCATGGAGCATCCCTGGTTTTGTTTTGAGTTGATTTATCAAACATTTTGAGCTGATTTATTCGAGATTGAGTAGGTTATGGGAGCCAGTCCAAAATTTCTGTTGCTGGTCAACTGAGAATTTGTAAAAAAAAAAAAAAAACCATGAAATTCGAGTTTTCTTGACTTTACTATCAGGTCCCTGGAAAATGAGGCTTGATATTTAATAAATCCACTTAAAGTCAGGCATGCCCCATGCATTCATTATTTAGTAAGAATTCTTTGGAGATGTACATATAAATGTATATATGTATGTATGTATGTATACACATAGATAGATAGATAGATAGATAGATAGATAGATAGATAGATAGATAGATAGATAGATAGATGCTCTGAGGTTTTTAATCCTTCCCAATCTTAATTTGGGAATATTTGTGAAATAAACTCTGTGGTTGCATTATGAAGGTTATGGACTAGCATTGGGATTTCAGAGTCAAACTCCAGTGCTAAACCACAGAACTATAAAACCAAGGTGTTTTTCAGCATAAAGCTACCTTCCCCTCACAATTAGTCGTTATTGAATTTCTGTTGAAAGAAAAAGGATTTTCCATCTGGGGTTTTCATTCCACATAGGACCTACAAACTACAAAGCCTTGGGAGCCTTATCAAAAGTGTCCATTTACGGAACAGTTTCCATGCAGTTCAACAAATAGCTACTGAGTGGCCACTGTATAGGATCACAGACCTAGAGCTGAAAGTGACCTTAAAGGTCATCTAGTCCAATGTTCTCATTTTACAGATGAGGAAACAGAAGCCCAGGGAGATCACATGACTTTCACAAGTAGCAAGAGACAGAGTTGAGATTGGAACCCAGGTCCTCTGATCCTAACAGAGCTCTTTCCTTCTGTAAGGATGGTTTTATTGTGGAAAAAAGAGAGCTATTTAGGAGAGTGGGTGGCTCTAAAGTCATCTTGCAGAGGAGGTCCTAGGCTAAGGGAAGTCCCAAGAAAATGTTAGTTCTTTTCCCAGCTCACCTTCTTGACACCTATCTACAGACACTACGATATAATCTGTTGTTTCATTATACAAATGTTTCCAATAAACTGAATTTTGCCCCAAATAAAAACAGGCTAAAGGTTAACTAGTTATTGTTTAGTCATTTCAGTCGTGTCTGTTTCTTTATTACCCCATTTGGGATTTTCTTAGCAAGGATACTGAAGTGGTTTGCCATTTCCTTCTCCAGCTCATTTTACAGATGAGGAAACTAAGGCCAGAAAGGTTAAGTGACTTCTATAAGGTCACACTGCTAGTAAGTGTCTGAGGCTGGGTTTCCTGACTCCAGGCCTGTTATCTTCTGTGTTACCTAGCTGCCCCAGGGTTAACTAAAGATAGATATAAATGTAAGATTAGAGACAATCTCTAATTAGGTGTCAATAGTCTTCCAAACTGGGGGTTCATAGCAATTGGGACTGAACTCAGAACTTTTCATCTAAAATAAACTCCCTAAAACCAAAAAGGAGAGAACCAATTGGACCTGAAGGGCCATTTTATTGGCCACGGGCTTAAAACAAGCTGAATTTACAACAGAGCGCTGTCTCTTTTGTTGTTATTATTTGATAACATACTTTAGCAGATCTATAATGAGCTGTTTCTGCACCTCAGGCCAGTAGCACAAACTTTGCTGAACAAGCTCCATAGTAGGGGACAGGACCAGGCCAGGAAGGCAATCACTTGGAGTCTAGCCATCAGGAGAGGGCAACATACCATCTGATAACTTCCAATTTAACTGCTAAACTCAGTTTTTTTAACTGCTTTAAAAAAAAATACAAGTGCTACAAGAAACCTCTCATTTTAAGTACCTTGAGGCAAACCTCCAGTGTACCTGCCCTAGTTACAGCTCTGTCTATCTACAATCATATCAATGAAGAATTTTTATTGCTTCTGTAATAAGAGACACAACTGAGCTCCAAATGAAGGGAATATACAAAACCAAAGAGAGGCAACATAGCTTAAAGAAGGGCTAGGCTTCACAGTCAAGTCCTGATCCTGTACAACAGTGGAAAGAGCCATGACTCCATCATCAGAGGACATCAGGTTCAAATCCTACCTCCAGTGCTTATCACCTGTATAACCTAAGGCAATCTCCCTGGACCTCAGTTTCCTCATCTCAACCTGTCAGACTAACTGGCTTCTGCAGTCCCTCAGAGCTCACTTACACTTTTAGCATCCCAGAGAATTCTCTCAGAGTACAAGTTACAGAGGAGAAGCCAATCTGTATCAGGGCAAAAGCAGTTTCCACACCAGGAATTCCCTCTGTTGATGAATCATTGGCCTGGGAACAAACAAACAAATAAATGAATTGTTAATCATAGGTCTGGTCCTCTTAAATATGGTTTATAAAATAACAATGAAGTGAATACTCAATACATATTTGTTAGTTTAATTTTTATTGGTTTTTTGCATCACCAAATTTCCCTCAGTGTCTCTCCCTCTCTCTGCCTAGACAGCCATCCCGTAAACAAATAATATTTTAAAGGGAAAAAGAAAGAAAAAGTGAAAAATCAGCAAAATTGATAAACATCAAAAAAGTCTGAAAACATACACAGTGCTCCACAGCCATGGATGGACCTCCCATCTCTGCAAAGGTATGACAGTCGAGGACATCATTTCCCATCTCTTCTTTGGGACACGCTTGTTCTTTGTAATTTTACAATATTCACACTTGATTGTTTGGGGGTTGTTCTTCCTGTGTACATAGTCATAGTCACGTGTGTTGTTTTCACGGTCCTGCGTTCTTCATTCTGCATCAGTTCATGTTGATCTTGACATACTTCTTCCATACATTTATTACATTTGTCCTGGCTTACAGCATAGTAATGTTCTATTATATTCACATTTTGTTTAGTTGTTCCCCAGTGAATGGGTATCTATTTTGTTTCCAAGTATCTGCTACCAGAAAAAGTACTGCTGCAAATATTTTGATGTATGTGGAGATTTTTTCTTATTAATGGACTCCTTTTTCTTATTAATGCCTAGTAGGGGGATTTCTCAAAGTATATGGACAATATAATCACTTCGCATAATTCCAAATTGCTTTCCAAAATGGTTGTACTGATTCAAACTCTGCCAATGATGCACTAGTGTGCCTGATGTCTCATAACCCCTCCATACTGACTATTCTTATATTTTATTCATCTATGCCAATTTGCAAGGTGTGCGGTGAATGTTTAAGGTTGTTTTGATTTGCATTTCTATTATTATTTGTGATTTGGAGCATTTTTTCAAGTAGTTGTTAATGATTTTCAGTTCTTTTGAGAACTGTTCCTATCCTTTGACCACTTATTTTTCGGAGAATGGCAGATGGGAAGTTTGTTCCAATGGCCATGAAGACATGAAGATGGCTGAAGCAGGTGCTATGGAGTGCCTAGAGCTCAATTAGATTGTTAGAGTCCTAGTTGGAGACATGTGAAATAAAGATGAGTAAAGAAAGACTTCAAAGCGAGGCAGAGGATTTTGGATTTGATTTGGCTGAAATTATGTTTATTTTTCGTCACCAAATGGGAGGCAGTATGGGTTAGTAGAAAGAATACTGGCTCTGGAGTCACCAAGCAAAGACATCAAGGCCATCCACTGCATCCTGGCCCATCACCAGTCGTCTTGACTTTTGTTTTGCCACTGGATTTCAGTGACTCTGGAAGAAAGAGTGAGGCTAACAATTTTGCACAATTCTGTCTCATTTAAATCCAATTCATTTGAGTTAAGACATCATCCTATGATATCGTTGGTCCTCCTCAAAAACAAAGGACAAATAATACTAACATTGGAGAATGACTTTGGGTCTTATATATGTATATTAGATATTTGTTGAACTGTACCAAATCTATCTTATAGATAAGTATTGCTGGCAGAGCTTCCAACGCTGTGTGGTTCTCAAACTTCCTGTTTTGTCCGAGATAGCCAGGAAGTGTAGCCATGTTGCTGTTATACTTACATATATGAATCCAACAAGTAGGTTTGGAAAATCTGAGGTCTGTTCTACTTTTTAATGCCATTGTCTCTTGCTGTTGACCAGTCCTCATTCCTTCATATCCCTTCCCACATCACTAAGCTGAGAGAAAATATGACCTTCAGAAAAAATTATTTTCTACCAAACACAAATGCTCAAAGAAACAATGAAAATGACATGAACCAAAACAATAGCTTACACTGCTTTGTGATTTACAAAACTTTTTTTTCAAATTACTCCTTGTGAGACATCACAAGATCATCATAAAATTACTTTACTTCAGCACAAAGCAATAACTAGGGATGAATGACCATGGCTTCTCCCCAGTGTAGCAAAATTTAATGGGTACTCAAAGTACATTCAGTCTTTCCTGAATGAAAACAACTGAGTTTTTAGTACCTGATTAGCAAAAATAATTAGATAAAATCTTAAACTGTGAGGTGGTATGCAGAGGTCACTGTGTCTTGTTTCATGCTGTTGGAACTTGAGTATTATAGGATCATGGACCTTGCAACTGAAAGAGAATTCAGACCCATATAGTCCAATACCCCTCCCTCTCACATTAGAGATAAATAAAATGAGGGCAAGATAGAGTAAGTGTGATAATAACAATCAAAAGTGAGATTTAAACAGGATATCAGACTCCAGAGCCAGTCCTCTTTCTGATAACCCACACTGCCTCCCATTTGGTGACTAAAAATAAACATAATTTCAGCCAAATCAAATCCAAAATCCTCTGCCTGGCTTTGAAGTCGTTCTTTCTTTATTTTATTTCTCATAGGTCTCCAATGAGTTCCAACCTCAGTAGATCTCCTCAGACTTCCATCTGTATTCCTATCTCTGTGCCTTTATTCGTACTGCTTAGAATACCCTCTCCAACTTCTCTCCAACTTTTTCATACTTTAAAGTTTGCCTCTCTTCCATTTACTCTCCTCCATGAAAAACTACACACTCCTTAAGCCTCCACAGCTCTCTCCCTTCTCTGAAATCTTATTGTGCTTGGAGTCACCCCTATGTAATTTGTGCCTTTTTGTTCTGTCTTAATGTTCCATGGAGATTAGTTTCACTTCCCCAACTAAATATAGTATACAGCCCTCTCCAAAGTTTTGGTCACATATACTTCTGTAAAAACCAATCTCCACCAACAATTCATAAATGAATAAGTTATGCCTCATTGATGGTGGAGCTGTGAATTGTTCCAACAATCTGGAAAACAATTTTGCACTATGTCTAGAAAGTACATTACCTTTCGCTCAGTGACACCACTATGAATCTTGTGCCCGAAAGAGATTCAAGGATAGAGGAAACAGACACATGGACAAAAATATTTTAGCTGTTCTTTTCGTAATGACAAAGAATTAGAGACTGAGGGGATGACTATCAGTTGGGGAATGACTGAACAACATATGGCAGAGGAACATGATGGAATGTTATTGTGCAGTAAGATATGAAAAAAGAGATGATTCCAGAAAGCTTGGGAAAACAGGTATAATGATATACAGCGAAGCAAGCAGAACTAGAACACTTTGTACTATAGGATCAATATTGTATATATTCAGTCATTTCAGTGATGTCCAACTCTTCATGACTCTATTTGGAGTTTTCTTGGCAAAGATAATGGAGTGGTTTGTCATTTCCTTCTCCAGCTCATTTTACAGATGAGAAAACTGAGGCTAATAGGGTTAAGTCACTTACTCAGGGTCATACAACTAGAATAAGTGTCTAAGTATGGATTTGAACTCAGGTCTTCCTGACTCCAGGCCCAGCATTCTATCCACTGTGCCACATATTGTAAAAATGAACAATCCTGAAAGACTTAGTAAACTCTGATCAACTAAATAATCAACTGTGATTCCAGAGGTCTGGTGAAGAAGAATACTGCCCACTGCAATGCAGTGAGAGAATAGACAATATGCAGAATAAGAAATGCCTTTGTGGATCTGGCCAACATGGGAATGTGCTTTACTTGACTATGTTTACGTGATACAAGGGTTCTTTATTTCTTCCTTCCTTCCTATGTAGATACACATACACATACATATGTATAATCCTGTAACATACACATGCATGCATATACACATACATACACAATGCCTGTACACATACATGTGCACACATGTACAATCACCTGCAATGTACACAATACACATTGCACATGCACATATATATATTCATTACCCAATCCTGTACATATGCACGTGCATGCATACATATGCACAGCCATATATACACAAATGGGAATGTGTGCTCACGTGTGTGCATATATGCACATGTGTATAATCACATACTTACATGTAATTGTATATGAATTGCCATGCACGTGCAGTGCATGTATGCACGTAGAAATACACATTTGTGTACATATACATATGCATATGTGCATAAACACACACACATAGACACATAGACATAGACACATACACAAAGAGAAGCAGCCTGGTGTGATAGATGGAGAGCTGGCCTCAACCCAGGAAAACCTAGGTTCAAGTCCTGCCTCTGACACATACTAGCTGTGTGACCTTGAACAAGTCACTTAATTTCTCAACACTCTCTATGCAATACCTCCCAAGATGATAAGCTGCAGAGAAAGTATAGACCTACATAGGTGGAAGGTGTGTCCTCACATAGGAATTCCCTACACTCATAAAATCAAAAGTCTAGTCCCTTCTCCTCTGGATGATAATAACTGCACACTTCTCAAGTACTTTTGTATATTTCTCATTTGATCTCTTTCGAAGGATAGCTTCAAAGTGGGAGATTCAATACATCAATGGGGATGTTTGATAACTAGCCTTAGGGATAAACAAGTGTGCACAAGCACAGTTCATGACTTCAGGGAAGTATATTAATATCCTTTTATAAGAATATGTGCCATATTATCAAATAAATTTCTGGCAGAAGCCAGAAGTATACACAAGAGTCCACTGCATAGTTGCTAATGTCACTATGTGGAAACAGACTTTGATTTTCAATCAGAAGACCTGAGCTCTGGTCCCAACTCTCCCACTTAACTGTGATGGAACCATTGGCATATCATTCAATTTCCTTCAACCACAATTCATCATCTGTAAAATGGGCTTGATAATATTTGCACTACTTACCTCTCCAATTTTTTGTGAGGAACAAATGAAATATGTACATAAGACATTTTGTAAGTTGTAAAACTATAGTCAATGTCAGCTATTAAGAACAGTCTACTAATTTGCTGATCATTGATGGACATTAGTACTTATATGTTATATATAAATATAGCTGTACACAAATGCGTATACACACAATATGAATTATTAATCAATCAACAATCAATGGATAGAGTGATTGGCCTG